TGTACATTTTAGATTACATGTCCATGACAACAAATCAAAGATGGCTGGCTGACTGGCTACCATCTTGCTTTTTGACTTACTACTTCATCTCCAGGCCTTGGGGATCATTTTCATTCATATTTGGCACATACATCATACATATTGGAATACATGTTCATTCAGTTTGTTTCATAATCAGAGCAGAGATGGCAGATTGGCAGCCATCTTGCTTTTTGCCCATACTGCTATTATATTTCCAAAGCTTAATTGACTGTTTTCATTTATATTTGGCACATACATCACACATGAAAAAGTACATGTTCATGACAGTTTGTTCCATAATCTGATCATCCCGCTTAATTTTTGGAAAATGTGGTTTCTTAGACAGGATTTGTTAGAGGCGACTTGGACATGATTTTCTAAAAACTGATTAACAGCGTGTAAAACCAAAATACCGACATAAACAAACAAAATTACATACATATATAAAAGGCCGAAAAAAAGAAAAAAAAAATGGAGCCTCATACCTACATTGGATTACAATCAGATTGCTGTCATGTGTACAGTGGAGAGTGTTCACAGTGAGATGTTTGGTCTTTACACTGGAATGTGTGGTGGTTAGCAGTCAAATTTCTAGAGTACCGGTAAAACAATGGGTGTTTACAGTTAATATGTTTAGTTAGTGTATTCAGTCATTTATCATGTGGTTTAACAGTTGCAGCTAAAAGTGGTGTATTTACAATGATACACACTTTGTATGTATAACATCAGACTTTTTTTTTATTTTGATGTTTGCTAATCACTTTTTTGTCTACTATGCACAAAGTTAATATGATCTGCTTCTGTAGATACAGATAAAGAGTAATGAATTACTATTACAGGACCTGGACATGGAATTCAGTTAGAGTCTGGAAGAATCTTGATTGCTGGTAATCATTATCAAAAGGACTGGTTAGGAATAGGTAAGACTGTAGATCTCAGTGTGAATTGGCCGTAAAATTCTCACCAAATAGCTGATATTTTGAATTTCCGGTTGCCTAGCTACAGTGTGCACAATTACAGTTGTGTTTCGGAAATACAGTTTTGGGTAGCTATACCACCTTGAGTGGTAGGTATGAATCCACAATGTGTGCGATAAGTTTATGAAATGTAAATAATATCTGAAAAAATGAAACTGGACAGTATATGATTTATAACATTTTGGTATCTATTCATACTTCTGCAGGGATGTGTATTTTATTCACGTAAAACTGAGGTGAACAGGTTCACATACACCTGGTTTTAAAATCAATCCTCCCTTCTGTCACAGACACACACTCGGTAACATACCGGTAGTAGCCCTGGAATTCAAAACTTGTTCATTTGTAAATTTACAAAAACAAGTTTTTCACTCTGTACATTGATGATATAAGCAGATGTGATGTAAGTATGGTGAAAGGAAAGTGAAAGAAAATCTCAAAATTGCAGATTTTGGGTTGGTAGCAAAAAAAAAAGTTGATCGTAGAAATATTCATCATGTTGAAAACCCTTAGCAAACTAATTACGTAATCACTCTTGATTTTCAAACTGTATAGTGTCTCAAGTTTAAATATTTTCTCCAGTTCATCATAAAATGACCACAATTTTTGGATCATGACACTGTGTGGGGAAAATCATTGTTAGCGTGAAAACAATTCTTGTTATACCCTCTCTTTTTAGCTCTGCTGTCGACTTATTCGAGCTGAGCTTATCATATGAGTGATTGTCCGTCGTCGTCCGTGTCAACTTTTTACTTTTTCGGCTTCTTCTTGAAAACTACAAGCCTGAATGCTTTGATACTTGGTGTATATGTACCTTGGGCAGACCTCTCTAAGATTTGTTCATTTCATGATGATATCTTCAATTCTCTAATTTTGGTGAAAAGTTATATTTCAAAATTGATATTACATATACAATGTATAGGTCATGGACCTCTTTCAGATTTGTTCATTTTCTAATGATATCTTCAGTTCTTAATTGAAATGTGCATTGCTAACAGCGAAGCTATCACAGCAGAGAGGCTGCTTGTTTACTTACTATCAATAGTACTAAAACCAAACTCGTAAAAAACAAAGAAATTTAGATTCAAGATAATATTTCCACTACCCCGGTAATGAATAAATGAATTTATGCACAATACAATTCCTTTTCGTTTTGTTTTTTTCACAGCTGGTCCACGAAGTCTACTTAATAATAGTGATTATAGTAATGTTATCTACAGTGATGATGGAGGTGATAATTGGCATATGGGTGGTATTGTACCCAGCTCAAGGGACCTTGCTGGGCAGAAGATAATTACTAATGAGGCACAGGTGAACAAAAATAGTACAAACCAGTTTTTATAATCCACTTATTATAGTTGATTTCAGTTGATCCTACTTCAATGAATCTAGTTTATTCAAGACCAATAAATTCAACAGATTGAAATTTAATGCACATTTACAGAAATGTCTTGACTAATTTTATTGTTTTTTATTGTAATTTCCTAAAAAGCAAATTTGTAGAATCTCTCGCTTTGACACAAAATTTCCATGGCTGATTTGTTCTGCTGTGCCCTCTATAGTTGTCACTGCAGTTTTGAGGGGATAATTATGCAATAAAATAGAATTAGTTGTAAACTGCCAACCAATAAAAAAGGCAGCTTTTGGTTTCATCTGTTCTATAATCTTTTACACTCATCTAAATCCAGGGATAAAAAAAACAAAAGAAAACATTTTTAAACCCTCTCTTATTGCAGCACAAATAATAAAATTTGTAGAAACAAAATTGGAAACAAGTAACAAATAAATGGACTGTACAGAGCATATATGACAAATTATGCCTGATATGAATTCTACACAAGTCCTATATGACAAAATAAAATCTTGTAGGACATTTTTGTAAAAGTGTGATTATGTGGAGGTTATGTAATTATCTAATTTATGTCATTGTGTCTAAGTTCAAGTTCAAAATATGAGAATGTCTGTATTATTTATAAAATACTGTAAAACATGTCTTTTTCGTGAGCATGTCTTTTTAGCGAATTCATCGAGAGAATTTACTAATTCGCTAATTTAAGATGTCGCTGATGACTTCATTATAAATTCAAAATGGCGGCCAAACAACGTCTTTTTCTCCACACATACACTTTGTAAACAACACAGAAAACATAATATTCTGGAGCACTTCCTTATTACACTTGAGAGTTTGTATAGAGGTGATAACTGCGGATTTGTTTTGGTACACGACAGACAAGTATTGTGAAACCAGGAAATCAACAATGACAAGTGAGATTCGCTAAATCATTCGCTAATTTCTCTATTACGTCATTGTACCACAATTCGCTAAAATAGTATGTCGCTTTTTCAACATGTTTTTCAGTACACCCCCTCGCTAAGGTGAATATACCATGTAACATGAGAGGTCAATTTTTATATTAAAAATGTTTCTATGTTTATATATACACAAGATTTGATTCAGTCATAACAGGCAGATAAATTTAAATTAGTTTTGTTTGCCTACTAAGGTTGCAGAGCTAGATAATGGAGTTGTTGTCATGGCAATGCGCACCCTAATGTCCCGTCAACCAAGAGCGCAAGCATTCAGCTACGATGGTGGCATCACATTCCAAAAAGCCGAGGTACATACCAGCTTGATTGAACCAGGTTATAAAGAGAGCTACGGATTTCTGATTCCAAAAAACACTCCAGGCTGCCAGGTAACTGTTGCTTATTTATCATTTTTTTTAATTCAAGAGCCAAGCTGGGATGCTCTTCATTTGGAATTGTTTTGATATAATTTTCAATTTCATATATTTTTGTATACAAATGCACTGAATACTAATTGTTTTTGAAAAAAAAATCACAACATTTCTCGTCATCAAATTTGCTCGTATCATGTAGTACTACTGGCAGCCATTTTTGTTTTTCAAAATGCTTTTCAGGAGTCATTTTTCTAACATGTGACATAAATATAGTAAACAAGATTTTGCAAATGCAAACTATAATAATAAAAATAAATAATAGTAAATAATAATAAATAGTTACATAAATTTGATCATCTGTGGTGTAGCACTGTTCACCCATGCTCAGTTTATAGGTCCTTTAAGTACTTAAAGTTAAACATTAACTTGAGTTGAAAATTGCAAATGAGAAAAAGCCAGAAGATACAACAACATTCAATGTCAGGTGGTTCAAAATACTGAATAAATATTAACTGTTTGTTTGATTGTTCTCTGCAAAAAATTTGATATAATATTTTACATATTTTTGATATGTATTTTTCCATAATTTTGTTATTAGTTTTGAATCAAATAGAAATAAAAATCCCTTACCTACAGATCTTGATCCAAAATTTTGAAAAAAGTTTTCAAACCGTTAAAAGTCAAAAAGTTATCAAAACATTGTCTCTTTTATTTATTTGTTTATTTGTTTGCAGGGTAGTATTCTCTCATTTCCTGCACCTGCTAGTAACTATGGAAACCAGAAGTGGGTACTATTTTCGAATCCTGCCAGCAAAACAACTCGCAAGTATATGTCAGTCAGGTTAAGTTATGACAGTTGCAAAACATGGAGTGAACCATGGACAATTTACCCATGGTATTCTGGGTATTCTGACTTGACTTATCTCGGCATAGATCAAGGTGTTCCAAGTTTGCCGTCTTTTATGAGGGTGGAACGATGTCAGAAGCCGAGAAAATAATGTTGAGGATTTTCACATTGGATGCACTTCTAAAAGGAATCGATAACAAAAAGTCAGTCTTTGAGGGGGAAGGTTAAAAATCTGTCACGTGGATATATGTAGAGGGCGCTCTGCTATTCTCAGTTCAAAGTGAGGCTAGGAGGCCTTTTAACCTGATGTAGATATGGACTGTTTACTTTTCTCTATGTAGAGGGCGCTCTGCTATTCTCTGTCAAAGTGAGGCTAAAAAGCCTTTTAACCTGATGTAGGTATTTCCCAGAAGTAGCGTTACTGGTAACCTATTTTCACCTTCAGTGTTCTTTCACCTTACATAAACTTTATACTTGTTATTAGTCCCTGTTTGAACAAAAGTACTTTTGCATGTGCCTAGTACTTTATCTGGGAAATATGCACATGAAGTCCAAGATGGCGGAATGGCAGCCATTTTGTTTTTTGGAAAATGTTGTATCTTATGAATGCTTTGTCAGTTTTTGCTCAAATTTGATACATACATTATACATGTTAGGATACATGTCCATGACGATTTGTTTTGCGATTGGATCAAAGATGGCTGACTGGCAGCTATTTTGTTTTTGAAAATAGTTTTTTATGCATGCTTTGTCAGGTTTTGTTAAAATTTGGTACATACATTTTAGATTACGATTTGTTTTACGGTCAGATAAAAAATGGCCAACCGGTGGCCATCTTGCTTTTTGACCATACTACTATATCTCTACGGTTTATGGACCATTTTATTCACATTTGGCACATACATCATACATAATCCATAATCTGATCAAAAATGGCTGATTGGCATCCATCTTTTTTTTTGAAAATCTTGGACAGGATCTGTCGGCTTTCAAATTTGATACAAACATTATACATGTTGAGATACATGTCTATGATAATTCATTTCGTGTTTCGTATCTCTGTACATGAGCCTGGAATTCAGTGAAATTCAGTTTGGATACAAAAAATGCATGAATAGCATATTCTGTTTAATTTCTGACCATATATCACGATTTTGGAAGCATCATGTAATACAACTAATTTCTGTTGATACTAGACCAGCCAATTATTTACTCTAAATTACTAACTATGCAGTTTAATGTATATTACCCCCCCCCCCTCCTCCACGGTACTTTATTTTTGACATGAATAGCATTTTTCCTAATTTCAACGATGGCTATATCCTTAACAATGACTTGGGGACCACAAACATTATTTTGTATCAGTATCATGGATTAAAAACTTGAAAAATTGTACTAGTTACTTTTGCTTGGAATTTATTTTACCATTATTTGCTGAAGGGTTGATTCAGTGAAAATAATATCCAGCAAATATAGTTTTTTTTTCAGATATTTTACACTCACTAAATCAGTGAAAATAACCTTAATACAAAAGTTTGTTTTGGCAATATGGTACACATAATGAATATTCTTTGAACACCACAATTTTTCCTGCCAAAATTTCCTACTTCTTTATGTAGATTTCTACAATTTTCTACAATGTAATATTTTTTTATCAGAATTTTTTGAAAAAATATGGAAAAATTTATGTGGGTTTACTGGTATATCTGTGAATGGTAACAAAAACTGTGGTGCTCTGCTCAAAAGGTTGATGAATAGTCTAAAACAAAGTTGTTGGGTGACATACTGTAAGGCCAATAAAAAAAAAACACAGTTTAAACCAGTCCTGTATCTCAAACATTTTGCGAGGGAAATTTTGTGAATCAGTAAAGTGTGCCACATATGGTAGAACAAGGAAATGTTTGTTTTTTTAAGAAGATTATTTGTCAACTTTTAATGCAAGTATTCTCAAAACCATTATTTAACAAATTTTCATTGTTGAATATATATCTTCTTGTTTGGGTATTAAATAATCTTTATATGAAAAAAAATTAAAACTGCATTGTTTTTCCAAGTATATAAGGCAAAACCTTTTTCCTCCTTTTATACTTTTTTGGCCTAAGCTTGTGTTGCTGCCAGAATTGTGATTTGGTGATTTAAGGTTGAGGTCAACACAACTGCCTCTTCTTTCCAGTGAAATGTTCACTGCTGCAAACTTGTTTAATTAGTAAGTAGGTTACAGTATTATCAAAACTACACTGTTGTTTGGGTTATTTTGACGGACTGTGTCCTGTTTGGGCTATTGCAATTTTGACAGACTGTGTCCTGTTTTGGTTATTGCAATTTTGACAGACTGTGTCCTGTTTGGGTTATTGCAATTTTCACAGACTGTGTCCTGTTTACGTTATTGCAATTTTGACAGACAGTGTCCTGTTTGGGTTATTGCAATTTTGACAGACTGTGTCCT